GAATACCCACTTTGCAAGTATGTTCCCGTGCATACTTACGGACTACAAAGAACTCATTCGTGTCCATCTTAATCGCTTGCAAACGTCAATGGCAACTGTCGTCAACGCAGATAATTGTGTACGTCGACTTGTTTGATTTCTTCACTTTAAACTCGAAATTATATTTTAAAGCAATCCGGTGCACAGTTTCTTGCAATTCTTTCTTTGATTTGAATAGTTGCTTGACATATATATCTTCATCATCGGGAACTACATGCGAACAATTAGAGGACCGTGTACTCGGTCCAGCCTGTGAGCTTCCACCCGACTCATGTCTCCTACGGGATAAAGCAGTCAAATCATTGTTTGTAAATGCGTTTTCATTCTCGTTGTCTTCAACTATCGATGGAATTCTGTGCGTAACAGCGTGATCATTGTGAGTAGCAGTGGTATCGGGAATAACCACATCATCTTCACGAACAATCTGAATTGTATCCCAAACATCATTTATATTACGATTCTCTTCATTTGAAATTTCGTGTTCACCCTCATGCACATTCTTCCCCAATAAAGTTACGCAAATAGGAGTTGACTTTCGGCCTTGGTTCAATTTAATTAGATGTTTCATTTCCACTTTAGAAGTAACTTTCATGGGTGGAATTGGAATGGTTGAATGCTCATGAAACAAAAATTCCAATTCCATATCGTATTGAGAGGGATCGACGTTAAGCATGTTTTGTATATCACTGTACATTTCTGCAAACGATGTACTCCTTGTTATAAAAATTGCTTTAACCTATCTCCTTAACTCGTCCATTTCCATTCCCACTGGGCATTTTCATTCATTTAAAATTCACCGAAATAACAAATTGGGACACATGCTAATGTCATATCTGCCACAAATTAAAAATAAGAAATTAATATATAATTTTTTAAATTGTTCATTTCATATTTAATTTAATTTTATACTTTAAATAATTCATTGATTATTTTAATTGTTTCAAAAATATTTATTTCAATTAGTATTAAATATTCATTAATATTTATTTCAATAAACATATATTAATGAACAAATAAATTATAAAATCTGAAAGGAGAGGGGAAGAAAAAAAATTAAAAAAATTAGGCTGGCTGGACTGGATTTTTCTAGCCGGCCCAGTTATCTGGGCAGGCTGAAAACATCCGGCCCAACTTTTTTGATCCGTTTAACCTGAAATTTACGCTCAAATTTTTTATTGTTTTCCCTTTTTCAACGAAATAATGTTTAAATATTTATTTTATAGACACCTATAAATTTTTCCTGTAAAATATATGCATACAGAGATAGATTTTTTTGTTGTTTTTGCTATAAAAAAATTATACATCTGTTTTTAAATAATGTAAAATTCATCTGCCTTTGTCAAAAAAAAGATTTAAAGATTCAAATAGTAAATTTAACTAAAACAAAATTAAAAATACGTAAAACACTTACCAATTTTCAGTGCCGATTGTGAGTATTGTTTCTTTGTTGAACCTTTGATAATTTTGGGAGATTTCAATATTCTAGCAGATGGAAGGAAAAAAATTCTTTTTTACTGTATTGGAGAAACTAATAAGCAAAATTGATTTTGAAATTTACGTATGGAAGTAACTGAATTTATTTAAACTTCTAAAGGTATTATTGTCTTTCAAAAAATTGATATAATTTTGTAATTGTGAAACATAAATAAGGGCACAATTGTCTTTTTATTGACAAGAGGCCAATGTGGTGAATACAAAAAAAAATAAAAATGGTCAAATTGGAAAATTGGTTGTTTGACCAAGCCAATTTAAAAAGTACCCCGTTGGAAATCACCTGAATTTGGGGATGGCATACAATGGTAGATGATTGAATTATGGGCAATCGCGATTTAGGTTTCTCTGGCTTCTGTGATTTGGGGCTTAATGAAATTAAGGCGCGTCTGAGATTTTGAAGAGGATAAAATTGCTTGTTTTCAAGAAAACGTCTCCATTGTGGCAAGAGTGAAACATTGTCTGTTGAAACGAAATCTTGGGGGAGTGACGGATGGAAATAACTTTTGATAAGTTGAGTGACCACTCAGCAGCATAAGGAAGTTCAGTGACCACAATGTAACAACAGTCAAAGTTGAATGACTAATGAAACTTTTTACTCCGAAATCTTAGACGCACCTTAATTTCATTAAGCCTCCAAAATCTCAGACGCACTTTAATTTCAAAAGTTGAATGACTAATTTGGAAATATTTAAGAAGGATATTTATTTTTTATGATGGTTGATATATTTTTCTGAAGACTAGTATACATATTGCAATAATTTGGTTTATATTTTTAACAAAAAAAAAAAAAAAAAAAAAACAAAATCTAAGCAGCAAAAAATATGATTTTTTCTGTTTTCTATTTTTCTGATCCCTCGGTTTTAGTTATTATAAAACTGGTCATTATATATTGCTGCACAAAGAGAGAAATTTTCATCTTTGAATTTAAGAAAATGAATAATCAGTGATGGCAATAAGAGTAATTATCTTCAGGAAGGATAAATATGTTTATTTTCCTATCATAAATATTGTATTGAGGTCCACTCCGATGTTGACAAGATCATTACAAACTAGAGAAAAAGTGCAAAATAAGATTTGTCAATAAAAATTGAATCAATTTCTTATCTATCAATTGTCGGTATGTTCCTCATTTCACTATCCCTCCATCACCATCATGGCGGTATGTTCCTGTCAAATTTCACTATCTCGCAAACTTTATATACACATACACGCATAAGAATCACTCTGACGCTCTATCTATCTATCTATCTATCCATCTATCTATCCAGTCATGCTATATATACATCACATTTTAATGTGACACCACACTATTGAACAATTTAAAAAATAAATAGCTTTTTCACCAATCAAATCTTGACAATTCGAGTGATTTCGAAGATGATGTGCGCTTTTGATGTACAAATGACATTTCCCCTACCAAAAACAATGTTGCTTTATGTACATCATGGTTTACACTTGCAATTTTCACACTAACTTATAAATCTCACACATTTAATTCAATCGTTATCACACTTCCGTGTCATCAATGTGTCAAGAAAGATGTCAAGAGAGTGTACAAATAGCCTAATCCATCTAAAAAGGCTTTCTTCAAGAAAATGTTCAGACTTGCTATAATGGGACATGGGTGGGACCCCCATTCTCTTTTGAGTTGCAAAAAGTCTCCATCGGCATCTTCATCATCGTCGGTTCCGGAGAAGAAGAAGAATAAGTTAAAATCATCAACTAGCATTGCAGACAAAAATGAAGAAGAACACCAATTGACAAGTCCGTATGTTGAGACGTTGGACGTGAACAAGCGTGCAATAGCAGTGGCCGAGGCTGCTTTCACAGCCACCAAGGCGACGGCTGGTTAGTACTATAGTTATAATTTATAAGTTCACTTTCTTTTTTATTCTTCCACAAATTCCACATATATCAGTTTACTTGATCTGACAAACTTTGATGTTATGTCTTTGTTTCTGCCGATGTTGCTTAAAGTATAAATCATTAGAGTGAAATTCTTTTATTTATTTAAATTTAATTTAACATTTGACACGTCCACAGTACAGACCGAGTTATGTGTTATGATATTTGGATCATTTCATCTAAAAGTTTAAGTGTCTTTGGCTGTTAGGTTGGCTGTGGAAATCCATGATCACCTCAAGAATCTATTCCTTCTTATCCTTATTATGTTACTCGTCCTCTCATGGGACATTAAAGCATTTTACTCCATTCTGGGTAGAAAAAAAAATCGATACACTTGCTAATTTTTTATTATTTTTAAAGGAGAAGATTATTCTCTTTACCAAGTTGAAGTTCTCAATATGCATTTCAAATTTATTTATTTTTTATTTTTTTTGTTGCTTTGTATTCACATTTTTTACCTTTCTTTTTCATCTGAGAAAAGTACTTTGATGAGTCTTTTGGTGGTAAAAGTAAATTAAGATCCTTTATTTGGATGCAAATTAGGACCGTCTTGTTTTAGATAAAGCTTTAAAGCTTGACGTAAGCTCAATTATCTTAGGGTCGTGAGAAGTCTTGAACTCAGTTGTACCACCTCATCTGAAAGTTTGAGATGTTGAAGGAGCATTATTGTAAAGAAGAAACTCAATTGTACCACCTCCTCTCTTGTATAGTGTTGAGTTTGTATATGCAGATAAATCCACTAAAGAATAAACTTGAATCCCCGTCTTTTCCTTTGCGCCTTTGTAGTTGACAATTTCTCTATACCCTCTGTTATCTTGAATCCCCGTCCTTTCCTTTGCGCTTTTGTAGTTGACAATTTCTCTATACCCTCTGTTATCCCTTTGGACATAAAATAGAATTGTTGCTTCTATTTTGCCTTTTGTTTTTCGACTCATGATAGAGGGCCTAGGTTAGTCTGTCTACATTACAACTTTAAGCCCTCATTTGGTAGTAAATTTTCATCCCAAAAAATTAATTTTTTAATTGTTATTTCACTATTTCAACCGTCATTTTTTACTTCTTTACTAACAGATGAGACCCATTTTTCTCTCCAACGATCAAAAAAATCAATTCTCATAATCAGTACTGAACATGTCTTAAATATTTGTCTATAGAAAAAAGAAGTTGATTGATAGAACAGAATCTGAGTCTTTAAATTTAATAGGTTAATATTGTCTGCTATGAAACTTTTGAAGCTGCCTATGGATTTAATGTTCATGCATGGGACTCCATACGTATAGCTGGGCTGTGCAATAATGCTTCTATGTATTAGATTGAGAGCTTGTATGGCCAAGCTTTAAAAGATGAGTTCTAACATAAACATTTTTCATCAATTATTTACTTATCTTGTTAGTAAAGGTGAGCGTTACTTTCAAAATAAGTGACTTTTTTTAACAAAAACGTGAGAAAAATGTAACTTATGCAAACATGTTTAGAAATAAAAAGTTGCTTAGAAGTTACTTTTGCTCACTTTTAAGCTTAGCCAAGCATGCCATCAACGCATTTGTCCTAAAACTATTTACTTCTATATTGAGGTGCAAAATAGCAAAATTAGGATTCATAAGTCGGACACCATAGCATTCTTTCGTATTCAATTGTTTCTTGATTTCCTGATGGACATGTTGTAGGCTAGGTTAGCCTTGAGGACAATCAAGGGACTCGTAAAGCTTCAAGGTGTAATTAGAGTCCATATTATCAGAAAGCAAAATGTAGATATGCTTCGTGTATGCATGCAATGGCTCGAATCCAGGCTCGAGCTTGTAAAAATCGAGCTTATACTTCAGAGTCTACTAATTTGGGCACAAGTTATTCAACTCGCATCAACCTGTATGTATAATTTCCTTTGTACTTGGGTTAAGCCATGAATCTCCTTATCATTTAGAATCATGCTAGTAAACTGATGACTTACTTTCCCAAAAAGCAAGTTGTTTGAAAATAAGAGAAAAACTTAAAGATGAGTTAAAAATAAATTGAGATTGCATAATTACCTACCAAGATGGCTCTTTCACGCAGCCAGTCTTTCTTTCCCTCACACATTCTAGTACCTGTAAAATCTAGCAAACATTACAAATGGGAAAATCTTATTCCGAAAATTAATTTTCATGTCAAAATTTCTTTCTGTTAATCGTATGAATTTACCTGCAGGGTGTTGCCAATCTTTGAAAATGTGAACAGAGGTCAAATTGTCCCCATCATGGTGGACTAAACCAAAAGGTGATCTCTTGAGCCCCTTATAGCTCATTAATATGAACAATATGTTTCTTTGTTGTGCAACGCTATAGATAAATGTGTATTAAATGTATCATTCTGTCCCCTGCATATGCAAAAATGTGGTTCAAGATCGAATAGGGCCAATAGTATTAACACGAAAAACATGTGGGTGTTAGATCACTGGATAGAAGAATATACATCGAACAACCAAAAGTATGGATGATAATTTGGCTCGTCGACTTGGGCCACTTGTGACTCGGCCCATAAAATGCTCAAGCTGGCCAGCTTGAGGCTCGGTAGAACCAACCTGAGGCTCTGGCCGAGCCTCATTTTGGAACATTGGGCTGAGCTCGAGCTAGCCCGTGTGGCTCGTTAGGCCGGCTCAAAAAAAAAAAAAAAAGGGAAAAATAGGCAGTAGCTGCCTTTTAAATAGGCAGCACAAAGCTACCTTTAAAAAATAGTTGCCTATAATAAAAAAACAAAAAAAATCGAGCTAGCCAGAGCCGAGCAGCCAAAAAAAGCCCTACTAAATTTTACTCAAGTCGAGCCCGAGCCTCGAGTTTCGACTCAACTCGTTGACATCTCTAATCAGAATTATTCCTCCCTTGAAACCAGACTTCGGGATGATGAAGAAGGGGACAAGATACTCGAGATAGATACTTGGAAGCCTCACTAAACCCCAAAGAAAAGTGACAAAGCAGAGCGTTTCAGACTTCACAATATTTTCCTGTTTGGAACGAGAATGGACGAGAATTTGCAACATTTGACTCAATGTCAAGACATTTAACAATATCTGATAAAGGAAATCCTTATATTTCTTCAGGTGATGTCCCATCCTTAAGGTTGATAAAATTCTCTCAGGAAGTGGATCTTGTGCCTTCTGGACCTAGAAGTAGTCGAAAAAGCCCTTCTAGTCCTACAAGGATGAGCATTCTAAAAGATTCTTTGGCGGGTACCTAGGTTACCCGAATTACAAGACAAATAGGAATCATCCCTGGCTAAACTTAGGTCCCAAAGAACCCAGGACAAGACCTCACATGGTTTGCTAGTGATCTTTGGGATATGGGGGTAAAGGGCTCTACCTTGTTTGCTAACTATACGAGAAAAGGTTATCCATATGCCGGTCACTTAAAGTAACTTGAGAAACCTATCCAAGATCCTGTTGTAAGTTTTAGTTCCACATATGGCTACAGATATTAGTTATGTTTGTGTATCGGTGGTTTGAATGCTGACATATGAAATGAACGTCGTCGAGGTCTTGGTAAGACACTGTTCTGAACTTTGTGCTTGGATTTATGATCCCAGAAGGGTAAAAATGACACTGCCATTTTCTTATTTCATGGATTGGCTTGTAATTATTCAATTTTTCTCTGACTATACTTTAAGCCGTGAATTTGTTAAGACTTGAATCAAAATTCTTCTATATTCTATTTAGAGAAGATTTTCAAGCCGTATAAATCAATTTTCAACATAGCAGGGGGAGTTAAGGTGATGCTTGGAATAAAATACTAGACAATATAACACAAGATTTCAACTTTCTTCTTCTTTAATACCATCAAATTTTGTCTGATCCACCTTATAAAACATATCATGAGTATATATATTTAGGAAATCAAACTTATAATATTAATGTTTCCATCTCTACAGAAGCTTGAAAAAGATTCCATCCTCCTGCACTGTAGCTTCTTGTCGAGGACATGCCAATACTACACCGTTTCCCAGTCTTATCTCATGAATCAATGCTGCATACACATGATCAAAAGTCAAAATTCTTCATCGAATATATATTGGAAATTTTTCCATAAATGACCAAAATATATATACATAAAAGAATAGGATTTACTATTCACAATCAGTATTAGGATCAATGGTGAAGCCAAGAGAAACTCCACAGAAACCAGGCAAAGTAGCAATAGCAGTGGCATTTGGATTGTAAGTTGTAATCAGATCCATCAGGCACCGGCAGACACCACGGCGGTTGTCACTGGTGTCCGCCATACTATTCAGGCTTGTCATGGCTATGCAGCACGGGGATCCAGGTACCGGGTCCGGCAAGCCGTATGTAACAAAGCTGGAACAGGCGGAGATAAGTGCCGTAATGGTGGTGCAATCTGCCACGGCCATCCCCGGGGCCGTGGTGGAATCTACAAATGCAGACCATGAAACTAATGTTATCACAAGAATGGCCAATAGTATGTTGTTAGTATTACTTCCCATGGGGTTGTATAATTTTCCTTTTTGTTATCGGATATTTGAAATGGATTAATTGGGGTGTGTCCATAAATTGCAGTGATAGACAATTTCTTATATGAAATATGTTAGTTGAGTTGGTGTACAATGTAGAGCTTGTGGTATTCTCATCAATGCCACATGACAATATATGTTCTATTTAGGTTAAAAACAATGTTTGTTCATTCAATAGTTTTCTTATTTTTAATTATTCTTAATTATGATTTAGATAAGGAAATTGGTTTTTATCTAGGAGAAAGTTCATTATTCTTTTTTGTTTTTGCAAAAATGGTTCCAACTTAATAATTTTTTTTCCTAAATTGACTTTTTTTTTTAAAGGAAAGACAGACAAATTAATAAAAAAAAATGTTCAGAAATTTGAAGTTATTCAATGCTAACTCTGTTATGGCTTTTGTATTTTGATAAGATAAATTTTACGTATTTTAGAAAATTGTTAAATATCATGTCCTGCGAATAAACCAATTTCATTAATTTCGTACCATATTTTTATGAAATGAGAGAAAGTGAGTAATGTTGTGAATATAGTAATATTTATGATTCACTTTTATACTCGTGCTGTCCTAGTCATTATGACCGTTGTATCTCTTGTATTTCTAATTCTTTCTTATAAATATGGAGCTTTGATTTTTTATAAAACATATAAGTTCATTGCCGACTCTATTTTGTTCCCTCTTTTCCTTTTTAATTTATAACACGTTAGTTTGTTTCTAAGAATCATAGTGAATTAGTTAGAAGTTAATCACTTCTATAGGCATAATCATCTGTCGCATGTACCAAAATTAATTTTGGCAACATGTGACTTTTTTATCAATTCACGCATCCAATTAACGTTTCTGTATTAGTTAGTTAATGGAATTAAACAAACACATAGATAGAGGATTTATTCATAGCCGTTTTATTGTTTATTTTACTGTATTTATAATGATTATTTTACTAATATTTGTACAAATCAATCATGATTATTTAATTGTACTTTGAATCTTGATTATTTTGTATGTGTATCGTATCTGTATCCATATCTTGTTTGTAAATCCTGTTTGCAAAAATTTTATGTAAATTCAAAGATGGCACTGTTTATGCATCTATTTGGTTAATAGTTGATTTTTCCTAGGGTTCAAGTTTTCGAGAGTAAACAAGACAATTACAAATAGATGCATAAACGGGACCATTACTGGCTCAGGAACTATCACAAATGGTTGATTTTTCCTAGGGTTCAAGTTTTCCATTTTCTTGACAAAGCAACTCTTCTCTTCAAGGTATCACTAGGACCATTACAAGATATTATATGTAGTAGTCGAAGATTCGTGACAATGTCCAGCAAAAAACTTGCATGTTTATCAACAAATTAGGTTGACTTATCGCTTGCTCATCATAATAGAGGGATGTAAGACAATAGTGTACATTTGTTAAAATTTCTGTATTTAATCATTTAAATATAAGTTAAACTAAAAAATTAAGTATTTTGATTTTGTATTTAAACTGAAATGTAAAGCCAAGACAAAATTGAAATTATTTCTACCATCATCTGTATCCCAAATAAATAAATATAATTGGATATTGAATTTAAACATGGCACAGGGAAAATAGAAACAAACCTTTTCTCTCCATATATTGCAGAGAATAAATATTGTGCCAATAAGAAACTGCCAACAGTTCAGAGAAGATAGTAAAATAATTTGAGAACGATAAAAGTAGGGATTGAAAGACTTTCGAATTCCCATTCAATATAGGCTAGTGCTCTCTGTTTCATGACTTTAAGTCCAAGAACAAAAGATAAACATGTATAGTTCAAGTAGCCAAACAGGTCAAAATCTTCACCAATGCCAAAACAAACCACTTTCAAATGCCACAGAAATGCCCTGCCTCTCAACACTTGCACAATCATTGATAGAATATAGTGCAATTAATATTTTAATCGCTTCTATTTCTAATAAACAAAATAGGGGAATGTAGAAGGTTACATAAACAAAACTCGGAAAGGGGAAGAAGGTATAGAATGAAAGATGCACTAGGATCATACTGTTGCATGAGAAGAAGAATGATAAGAAAGAAAAAATTGTTTCCATGTTGACAATAATTACACCATTGGATAAAATAACAATTAGTTGTAAATGAAAGAAAGCATACTAAACAACATGTCAATCCTTATATGACAATGGAATCGAAAGTTCCCAAAGTAGAGATGAAAATTATTGGAAACCAATTTTGAAGCCATTCTTGATCTGGGTTTTAAACAAGAGGCTAAGGCTCTGCCTTTTTTATTTATTTATCTGTTTTCTGGATTTACAAGGCTTTCTTTGAAGAAGAAAGCAAAGAGAATTAATACTAATACCCAGACGAAAGAGAATTCTGTTTCTGTCATATTTGGAATAAGATTAGGTAACAAGTCTAAATCGAAAACCATGACATCAAAGAGCTTGAAAGGATCGAGAAAAGACTCAATCCTTTCCAAGTTAAGGTATTAGAATGAATAGAAAAGAAATTATCACTCCTGTAAAACTTGAAAACTATATCATTTGCAGCTTTATTAAAATAAAAAGGGATCGTTAGA